TTCAATAATGAAACTATTGATGTAGATGACATTGTTTTTGATATTAAAGTTTTATTGTGGAATTGGTTGATTTTAGGAAGACAGAAAAGTATTAATTGTAGTTTTTACGATTGGTTCAAATTCCCGTTCGATTTTGTATAATAGTCTTGTTTTTGGTGGTGGTTGTAATCTTGTCGTTTTGAGATTTTCTTAATCTCATTATAATAATATTTGTTTATCATAAAAAAAACCTTTATTTTTACTTCTGCATTTATCTTAACTCTTATTATTCATAATATTTTAACAATTATCACCATTATCTTCACTATTATTTTACTCCTTTCCGTGTATATATATAATTGTAATCCTAATTATTTGACTGAAATAAAAAATATATATAATTGCTTTATAGTTTTAGACATAAATACTATTGACCTAATAGCGTTAACAAAAATGGTATTAATCGATTATCTTTTATATTAATTGCTATTTAATTAAAAAAATATTTATAGTTAATCACCTAAAAAATATTAATTGAACAAGTTTCTTTGTATTTTCCCTCAATTTGATTGGGTTATAGCTAGCATGCGCCAAGAAAGTTCTCAATATGAGACAATGCAACCTCATTTTTGGCTTAAATGTTTGTCACTTTAATCGATTATTATTACTTTACTAGAAATGGTTTCTTGCTTGTCTACAATTGGGTTGTATAATAAAAAGACCAATCATATTTAAGAAACTGGTCTGGTTTGCTCACACCTTATGCTCCTCATGTAGCTCCATGTCTCTTTCCATTCCAGCTATAAAACATTATCCAACACTTATACCTAATACTAAATGGTTTGAATATGTAAATGTCATATATGTTCTATGATGTATCAATATATTATTTTTAAACTATGCTCGATGTCTCTACCTTTTTAACATGAAGTTTAGAATCTACAAGTCTTTGCCCTAAGACATACATACATATGTTTGGGAATGCGACAACAATATAGTGTTAAATTAATGTGTAAAACTTAAGGTTGTCTTAATATAAGAATTGGACTTTTTCTAATAAAGCTAAAAATATACTATAATATAAATAGATTCATAAAAATTATTTTAATTTTTACAAAATTTAAAATTTCATGAACATAATTAGAATGACAATTTACCTATTCCTAATAGGAATTTATAAAAATTATCTACAACATATAGGATAGAAACTCATAAAATAGATACGGACGACACAGAAAATTATCCACTAAAATTAGCGGGTATGAGTACGGGAACTAAAATTAGCGGGTATGAGTACGGGAACATGTACCTTAGTACCCTGCTTTCCTCATATCCACATAATATATATTTTTATTTTAATTATTATGTTACATGTTAATGTAACAATTTTGTTAAATACATTCTTATTAAATTTTTACACATTTTAATATAAATGTTTGTATATTCCTTACTCAAAAATAACATTCTCAAACTTTTTTAAATATTGTTAAAATATTAAAATTATACGATAAATTATAATTGATCGATAAGAGATGCGGATAAATTGGTATGAATATGGGTATTTAGGTATCCATAGGATACATATACATATATAAAAAAATTGGTGCTCACGCAGATATGAATATGAGTATGAGAATTTATTTTAAATTACAGATTTAAATATTAATATTATAACACCCTGCCTAAACCTTTTCTATTGCTATCCTTAAACATAATCCCCTCTATTAATCTAACATATGAAAAGATGATTTTATTTATTTATGTATATATTGTTATGTATGAATGTATTAACGAGTGTGAATAATAGTCTTACATTGATAAAAATGTGAAGAATTGAGTATTTATAAGTGAGAGAGTCCATACACTTATCACATTAATGTTTTGTAGGAGTATCTGGTGTATCTCTCACAATTGTGTTGTTCTAAAAAAATAAATCTCATAATGTTCGATGCTCCCGGGTAAAAATCTTTCCCTACATATATATATATATATATATATATATATATATATATATATATATATATATATATATATATATATATATATATATATATATATAAAAGGAAATAATAGATATTTTTAAGGACAAATAATTAAAAATATTAAATATGGTTTTTGTCTCTAAAATCATAAAATTTATTTTTTAAAATTGTTTAAAAAATTACTTTTTAATTTTTGTTAAATTATCTTGCAAGCATTTTTAGTTAATATGTATTATTGAATAAGATATATTTTTAAATATGTTTTTGCAGATATATTTTTAAAAAATTTCTTACACAAATGTTTAAAATTAATTATTTAAGTCTATCTTATTCTTTCCCTCTTTTCCTCAATTTTGTTTCCAAAGATAAACAATTTTATCTTCCCTTTGAATTTGTTTTGGCTCATGGACAAAATAAACTTGAAATATTCAATGGATTTGATTTTAAAATGAAGAAGGGTGGCAATTTGCTCGTAAAGAGATTTACTATAAAATGAATCATGAATTTGACTCTGCCGGCGGACTATATGAATGTAAAACACAAATTGGGCAGTGCATGTAGCAATCAAACAAGGCTGCTACTCCCTTTAGATTTTACCGTTTGTTTACTTCCATAACAACACAATCATGTCTTTATAATAGGATCTTGTGATAAAATCTTAATTACATTTTGTTTGAGAACAAAACAAAAACAAAATATGAGTAGGGGTTACAATCCAAAATAGTTTTAAATTGTATAGATAAGATGTTTTGTTACACCATTTTATTTGATAGTTGTATATCTCAGATGATGTGAGTTCGAATCTATAACATCATATTTTTTCATCTTTAAAAAATGAATTATAACCTTTACACTATTTGACTGATAGAATTGTATAACTAATTACCTTAAAATAAATTTGTCACCATATTCCATTATTGGTCTCATTAAAGAGTGAGTGTCTTAGAGGTTTTAAAAAGACATTAATCATTTAAATTTTTAAAATCGAGTCATTGAGATTAAAAAAAAATCTTTTTTGGACAGACGTCTAAATTGAGAGCGTCCACCTAAAGATTAAGTTTTTATAACTTTTTTCTACCATCTTTCTGTTAGAACACAAACACTGTGATGAACACACAGTTAATGCGCAACAAGATTGTAATAGTAAGATGAATGTAATAGCACATACACACTAATGTTTAGACATCTTTGAAGATATCTTAGAAGAGAAGAAGAGAGAATAAAGATGATTCTCATTAATTGTATTTTCACATTACAAAGTGTTATTTATATGTGTTACGCAATAGCTTGCTAAGCAAGTCATTCATACACAGTATTTTAAAATTCATACCTAATATTTAAAATTTTCGGTAAGACTGAGACACATACCTAATGTTTTGAAAAAAACTCATATCGAATTTTTAAAATTTATACCAAATATTTAAAATTTTCAGTAATACTGAGACACATACTTAATGTTTTGAAAAAAAACTCATACCGAATTTTTAAAATTCATTAAAAATACTAATTTTTGTTTTTGAATCAGTAAAAGTCTATCATATTTTTTAAATAAACTACAAAATTTTACTAATTCTTTTAAAGTGGTTTTTTTTTTAACTTTAACTTTTGAATAGGATAAATAATAATGACAATATTAATTTTATTATGATTGAAAAATACGAGGGTATCAAAATGAAAGATATCAAGTAGAATTATTTCAATGACCAAATGCCTTATTCTAAGGCACTTGTTTGATTTTTTCTTTGGGTGAATTTTAATTTTTTTATCCACCCCTTATTAAAATTCACTATGAAAGGTTCAAGTCTATTAAATATAATTCATTGTGATTTGATATGATTATATTTGATATCATATGATTAATTTGATATGATATGATTAGATATCATATGATTAGATTTGATATCATATGATTAGATTTAATTTAGAATATTTTGGGTCTTTTATGTTTTGGCCTAGTGTAAACCTAAAACTATAAATAGTGTGTTTGTATTCTACATCACAACAGAATAGATTTGACAGTTGCAGTTAGCAAGTGAAAGTTCAATAAGAAATCTCACAGTTGTGGGTAACACATTCTCTCCAAATACTTCTTCTTTCATTCTTTTCATTCTTGTTTGTTATTCTTCTTCTCTTTTGTTGTTCTTAATAATTACTTGTTATTACCATTACTATCATACAGTGAGTTTGTTCATCAATCTTGAGATCAAGATTGAAGGAAATTCTTCATAGGGTGTGAGGTGAATTTCCAACAAAGTCGAACATCAATTTAAAGCTTTTAAGTTTAATATGCTGTTTGAAATATGTATTCTTTTAAATATTATTTATAAGAAAATTTAATTGCATTAACATTTTTTATTAATGTATTTTTATGATAAAAATAAACAAACTATTCCAATTAAAAGAAAATTTTATAAAATATTAATAAAATTGTTAATGTAAAAAATAAACGAATATCATTTTTTTTTGAGAAAATATTATATTTAGAGATAAATATAAAATTTAATATCGGTATAGAAACTTAATATAATATTTAATAACATTTATTTTGTGTTTTTTATAATAAAAACATTCATGATTGAATAAATTTTGGATAGAAAAAAGTTCTCATTTGAGAAATTAAAACCCTAAAACAACAGGAACCAGAAGCTTGCTTATAATAAAAAAACACTTGTTGAATCGGGAAGTGGTTGCAGTGAATTCAGCTTAGCTGGCCGGAAACGCCGGCGGACTTGGTCGTCGTGAGGAGAACGACCACCGTATAGGTTTTCCTTTTTTGCTTCTTCACATTTTCCTTTCTTCATTCCTATAGCTCGCAGCGACTCCATCCAGCGCGATTTGCGGCCGCGATAGCTGCTACTACTATTAAACTGTTAGGTTTTCTTTTAAGGATATAAATTTCAATCCCAACCCTAATGTTTTGTTCTTCATTCTATTGGTGGCTAATTCTGAATAAGATAGTATAATATAATACCCTAATCAAACAATCAATCAATTAATTCTCAATGTTCACTTTCATTGATTAGATTAAGAACTTCATCCATGTTCACCAATAACCAGAGGCAGCTAGAGCGAACAGGAAGATACGGAACCTCCAGATTGCAATACCTTCAGGTGCCTTTTCCTCTTCTTTTTGTGTCATATGTGTTGTGATGATTTGCTTTCGTGCGAGGAGAATCTAAGATGGCTACCCTTTGTTCAGGAGCTGGTGAACCAGTTTCAGAACGCATCTGAGAATGGTATGCTGTTTCCAACTTTCCATAAATTAAAGAATCTTTCAATATCTTTGTTGGTAGGATTGTGTATTTTTTACATCTCCCTGTTTTCTGGTGTTTCTTGTGCTGTGCAGAAACAAAAGAGAAGATTTTGGCAAATTTAGCCAACTTCGCCTATGATCCTTACAATTATAACTTCTTGCGCCAGGTATGACCCATGAATTTTCTTTGTTGGAAGACAAACTACATCAGATGAACTAAGATGCCCTTGCATAATTGCAGCTTAACGTTTTGGAACTTTTCCTTGACTGCATCACCGAACCCAATGAAAAGCTTATAGAATTTGGTGTTGGAGGGATCTGTAATTGTTGTATTGGTAATTCTGGCTGCTTTAACTTTCATAATATTGTGGTTTCTACTTGGTGAATTATCTTTCTAGTTGACAAAAAGTTTTAAAAAAAATTGCAGATCCAGTCAATGCTGCAATTATAACAGGAGCTGGTGGGATTCCCCTTATCATTCAATGTTTATCAAGCCCAGTTAGGAACACTGTAAGGATTAGAAATTGTTGGTTATCGTTGCTTCATTTTGTTATGTCTTAATTGTGTTTGAATTTCAAGTTGAATGTAGACCCTTGAGGCCATAGGCCAAAAGATATCGCCAAACCATGAATATAATTGCTTATCTACACTTTTTTACTCATCAAATTCAAGTTATATACTGACAGACCCTTTAGATTGTTTGTCTACTTCATCACTAACATGTTTCCTTAATGTATATGTGTATAAAAGTGTGTTTGATTGTTCATATGAAATTCAATCATTTGAGACATGCTTGTGTATTTTCCAATTTTGATTTCTTAGAAACTTGTGTTATTATGAACTCTTGTAGTAACTAAATTTACACCACCAATAACTTATTCTTAAAATTGCTTCTGGTAGTTACAGAGCATATAATGTTTCTTTCATTGATACATACATTCGAGTTTTAAACTTCCATAAAAGATCGACTAACAATTTGATAAACAACCATTGTATTTTACCTCGTCAGGTAAATTATGCACTCGGGGCACTTTATTACGTCTGTAATGAATCTAACAAGGAAGAGATTTTAAAGCCTGAAGTTGTTGATGTCATCAAGAGGTATGCAGCAGCTGAAGAAGTTAGTGTGAGCTTTAGTAATCTGGCTAAAGCTTTTCTGGACAGTCATCAAGACGGCCCATCATTCCATTCTCAATTATGAAACTATAAGGCTACCATTTTGCTCACAACTTAAATTACACACTGTTAGAATATAAAAAACATCAAAGAATATTTTTATATTATCTTAGGACATCTTGATTTATTGCATAAGATCAGTTTCCAGTCCTTGTATATCTCAGATTATTTCTTGGTTTTGCATTATGCAAACCATAAGCCCTTTACCCTAGGATGGCTTTGTAGTCCTCTAAATTGATATCAAGCTTTTTATACAGGATTATCAATCTTTAATCATATTTCATGCAGGATTAAGTGTTAATACTATGATTTCCTTTGTCGCGAGGTCTGACAGAAATTACAGCAATCTGATACTGTGTCTGATTAGTATAAATTAATTTAAAAGTGTGGAGCCCAATGGAAAGAACTGCCTCAATTGGCCACAATTGGTCAAGACCTATTCCAAGAATTGTGTCTTTTCCAGCGTCTAAATGCTGCTTCAGACAAGAAGGACCCTAAAATTGGCTCAAGGGATGAAGACAACTCTCTGTTTATGTCCTTGATATGGGGGTTCCCTTGAATAGCTCAGTATTTGAGTCAACCAACACCCTGCCCTGCAAAATTTGTTTCTTAATTTGTCTTCTTATGAAGTGCATTTAGTTGCAGTTTGGCTCTGAAATAGTTTCAATTTCTTCTTATATTTAATTAAGGAGAATGTAGTATATTCAAATCTGAGTTATTCAATACTTAGCGATTCTTTTGCAGAAAATTGCAAGAAAATTATAAAATGACATACTAAAAATAAGATGAAAAAGGCAAATAACAACTTAAAGAGTATTAATATTTAATAATTCTTTAACATATTATAATTTTTTTTTATCATTTATATAAATAATTAAAATGTTTAAATTTAACAGTGAATTAATTCATTAAAAAAATGAATATGATAAATAACAATTTATCATATTTTAAAATGGATAAAAATGTGTTAAAAATATTATGTGTCAAAATTTAAAATGAGGTTATTCTTGCAACTCTATAGCTATTTATTTTCTTTTTTATTATTTAGCACAAAATATAAGGATTTGTAATATATCGAAAATGCTATACGTCTCAAAATTTAAAGCAAGATTATGTTGTGATTTTTTTTAATGTGACCAACTTTTTAAATGTATTTCCCAAATAAAAAAGGATTTCAAAAAATTTTCTAAAGCGGCTAATATAGGTTGGCCAATCCAATTGGCGAATAAACTCTCCTTTTTTCATTTTTAATATTTATTTTATTTTTATTTGTTTTTATTTTTATTTTTATATTTTTTGTTTTATATTTAAATTAATTTAGATTTAAATATATTTAAAATAATAAATATATTTATGATATAGTTTTAAAATATATTTTAAATATATTTGTGATTTAAAATATGTGATATAGTTATAAATAATTTGAAAAAGTTGGTTATATTAAAAAAAACATTAGAATAAGCTCATAAGTTTTATAAAATTCATTAACTTAAATAAGTTGGTTTTTAAAATTTATTATAATAAGTTGGTTATATTAAAAAATTCATTAACTTAAATAATAAATATAGTTTTTGTGATATAGTTTTATATAATAATAAATATATTTGTATATAATTTTTAAGGGTATTTAAGGCATTTCATATGACATACATACTATTTAATTTTTCTATATATACGACTGTAAACGCATATATTTTTCCACAACATTCTATACCAAAAGACCAAAGTCTTAATAATCTTGAGTACAGTGGAGTCTAGAATGTTTGCATTTCTAAATCAACGTTCTTCGTCGTCGTCATCAGCATCGGAGGAACCGTTTCCAACATTTCCTCTAATGAAAAGAAATGCCCTAGTTTATTTTTCAGCAACAAAGCCTCCGATGAAGGTGCTTCTGTGGAATACGCAGACGTTGGAGCATTTGCATAGGGAACTGAATCACTGGCTAGAAGGAGATATGGCTGCAGGTGAAAAGATAAGGAAAATTGAGAGGTTGGTCGAGGAGGCAGGGAGAAACGGAGTTACTCGTGAATGGAGAAAAGTGGAAAATGATGTTGGTGTCCTTGTGATGATGTTAACACCCAAGAAGATAACGTTGATGGTTGTGATATCGTAGACACCTTGATGCATTGTTTTGTTTTTTGTCTTTATGTTGTTGTTATTTTCGGAATGTTGTTGTGATATTAAGTTATGTTTGTTTAATTTCTGTTGCTTGCTAATTGTAATCGGTTAAGTATGCTTTAAATGGAATGAAATTTGCTATTGATTTAAAGGGACACAGTTACATATGAAACTATGATCTTGTGCTTGATCCTACGTTAGGATATTTTGTACGATTGTGTCCTGGTAGCTAACACGAACTACATAATCTTACCATTTTGTTTGCGGTATCCATCTCCGTTCGAATGCGCGTGTTGTTAGGGCGACCCTTTTTCTTTCTTCGTATCAAATCATTATGCCAGACAATTTCGCCTTCGTATTGAAGCCAATAGTCATCATTTGCCACCACCTGGAAGCTACATGTGTAGACATTGCATAAACTTATCACTTGGTGAACTGTAGAAAGATCCCCTAGGCCTTCCTTTGTTGTGATCAATTGATTCAGCAACACTGAACCAACCTTTATTACGGTCAAAGATTGTGACCACATGTGTGTTGGCTTTGGCAGCTTCGTCTTTCATGAATGTTGTTGAACTATTACTGTACAACTGACCAGATTGTAATACTGAACTCCACTTCGTACGTCTGCTATCAAAGAGTACGCCTAGCCTAAAATATGTTGCCTTTACCAAGGCAGTTATCGGGAGGTTTCAGATTCTCTTGAAAACATAATTCATTGATTCAATGAGGTTAGTTGTCATGTGGCCCTATCGCACCTCATTGTCGTTTCCCCATGTCCATTTCTCTTTATCAATGTTATCAATCCATCTTAATGCATTTGTGTTTGTTAGTCTGATCTCGTCACAGTAGTGTTTGAATGTGGGCTCTGTTAGTGCATATCCTGCGTTCACAACCTTCTTCCTTAGTGTTTTGTCTTTGATTTCCCGCATGAAATTTTGAGCGATATGTCTTATGCAATACATATGGGTCGAGGGAGGATCCTGCCAACCGTTATCAAGGTTATTGTATGCACTCTCGATTGATGGGTGTCTATCAGAGATCAAACATAAGTTAGGTTGGGGAGAAACGTAAAAGTGGAGATTTTTTAAGAAAAAACTCCAACCCCCAACAGTCCCCCCTTCAACTATAGCGAAGGCTATTGGAAAAATGTTGTTGTTCCCGTCCTGTGCCACAACCATGAGTAGGGTGCCCTTATATTTCCCGTATAACCATGTGCCGTCAACTTGAATTATAGATTTACAATATGCAAAGCCTTTGATGCATGGTTCAAACGCCTAAAAGAGTCTGTGAAAAATTCCATTTCCACCAACGCAAGTCCCGTCTGGTGTACATGCTGACATTGTCTCCAATATGGCAACAGTCCCTGGGGAGTATTATTTAAAAGCCACCAAGAATTTTGGAAGTTCCTTGTAAGACTCCTCCCAATTTCCAAACACTCTTTCAACCGCTTTAGTCCTAGCAATCCATGCTTTTTGGTATGAAGGAATGTAATTGTACCTTTGAACCATATGTCAATAAAATCAAGGCAAAATACATTTTTTGGTCCCTTAGTTATATCATTTGGTTCAGATTGGTCCCTTAATTATTTTTTGTGTCAGATTGGTACCTTAACTCTTTAAAACATGTCATGTTAATCTTTTTTTATCTAATTAGCAATGTAAAAAATTCAAAAATTGGTCACTAAATCAGTTGCTAATTCTACAAAAATGACCAATATGACACGTCCTTCTTTGAAGGTGAGTACCATAATTTCACATATGGTTCAAAGGTACAATTACACTCCTTCGTACCGGAAAGCATGGATAGCTAGGACTAAAGCGGTTGAAAAGGTGTTTGGAAATTGGGAGGAGTCTTACAAAGAACTTCCAAAATTCTTGGTGGCTCTTAAACAATATTCTCCAGAGACTGTTGCATCTTGGAGACAATGCTGACGTATACACCAGACAGGACTTGCGTTAGTGGAAATGACAATTTTCACAAACTCTTCTGGGCGTTTGAGCCATGTATCAAAGACTTTGCTTATTGTAAATCTATTATTAAAATTGATGGAACATGGTTGCACGGGAAATATAAGGGCACGCTACTCATGGTTGTGGCACAAGACGGGAACTACAATATTTTTCCAATAGCCTTCGCTCTAGTTGAAGGGGAGACTGCTGGGGGTTGGAGTTTTTTCCTAAAAAATCTCCGCTTATACATTTCTCTCCAACCTAACTTATGTTTGATCTCTGATAGACACTCATCAATCGAGAGTGCATACAAGAACCTTGATAACGGTTGGAAGGATCCTCCCTCGACCCATGGGTATTGCATAAGACATATCGCCCAAAATTTCATGCGGGAAATCAAAGACGAAACGCTAAGAAAGAAGGTTGTGAACGCAAGATATGCACTAACAGAGCCCACATTCAAACACTACCGTGGCGAGATCAGACAAACAAACACATATGCATTAAGATGGATTGATAATATTGATAAAGAGAAATGGACAAGGGCATACGACAATGGGGCCACATGACAACTAACCTCGTTCAATCAATAAATTCTGTTTTCAAGGGAATCAGAAACCTACCAATAACTGCCTTGGTAAAGGCAACATATTTTAGGCTCGGGGCACTCTTTGATAACAAACGTACAAAGTGGGGTTCAGTATTACAATCTGGTCAGCTATACAGTAATATTTCAACAAAATTCATTAAAGAGGAGGCTGCCAAAGCCAACACACATGTGGTCACAATCTTTAACCGTAATAAAGGTTGGTTCAGTGTTGCCAAGTCAATTGATCACAATGAAGGAATGTCTAGGGGATGTTACCGAGTGGAACTGAATAGGAGTTGGTGTGACTGTGGAAAGTTTCAGGCATTTCGTATGCCTCGCTCCTATGTTATAGCAGCATGTTCGAATGCGTGCCAGGACCCAACCAACTATCTTTCTGCTGTTCACAAAGTGACAAGTCTATGCAATGTCTACACATGTAGCTTTCAAGTGGTGGCAAAGGAGGACTATTGGTCTCTATACGAAGGCGAAATTTTCTGGCATAATGATTTGATGCGAAGAAAGGAAAATGGTCGCTCTAATAGCACGCACATTCGAATGGAGATGGATGCAGCAAACAAAATGGTCAGATTATGTAGTTCGTGTCGGCAACCAAGACACAATCGTACAAATGCCCAAATGAGGATCAAGCACAGGATCATAGTTTCTAATTTAACCGTGTTCCTTTAAATCAACATCAAATTTCATTCCATTGAAAGCATAGTTAAGCGATTACAATTAACAAGCAAGATAAATTAAACAAACATAACTTAATATCACAACAACATTCCGAAAATAACAACAACATAACCTAATATCAAAATAACAATCCGAAAATAACAACAACAAACCCATATAAAACAACACAACGCATCAACTTGTCTAGGATATCACAACCATCAATGTAATCTTCTTTGGTGTTAACATCATCACAAGGACGCCAACATCATTTCCTACTTTTCTCGAATCACGAGTAATTCCGTTTCTCTCTGACTCCTCAAATAACCTCTCAATTTTCCTAATCTTTTCACCTACAACAATATCTCCTTCTAGCTAGCGGTTCAGTTTCTTATGCAAATGCTCCAAAGTCCGCGTATTCCACAATAGCACATTCATCAGAGGCTTTGTTGCTAAAAAATAAATTATGACATTTCTTTTCATTAGAGGAAATGTTGAAAACGGTTCCTCCAATGATGACGACGACGATGAACGTTGATTTAGAAATGCAGACATTCTAGACTGATTTGAAAATTATGAAGACTTGAGTCTATTGGTGAAAATTATTGTGAAAAAAATATATGAGTGTGCAGTCTTATTTATAGAAAAAGAAAATAGTACGTACCACATATGATATGCCGTAAATACTCTTACAAAATTTATTATTTTTTAAAATTATTTTTTTTTACAAAATATTAAAAAATAATTTTTATATGTTTTTTTAAAGAAAAAATCAAATATTAAAAAAAACAAAAAAAAACTACCCTACAATTGATGCGCCATCCCATATGGCGACTCAGTGTAGGGTAGGGCATCCCAAAAATAACCCATGCGCCATATGAAATGGCGAATCAGGTCTAGGGCACATTGATTAGCCATTTCATATGGCGACTCTTCCTTGAAAGTTAGTCAATTTGATAATTTTTTTGAAATAATAATTTATTTGGTAATTATTTTGAAAAAAGATGTTATTTAAAAAAAAATCGAGAATGGTTAAGTTATATGAGAATGTGAGAATGAATAAGAATTATCATATTTAAAAAGAAAATGTTGAGATTAAAAGATATTTTTAAGGTGTTTTATATATATATATATATATATATATATATATATATATATATATATATATATATATATATATATATCTCACAACTCCACATAAAAGTAACCGACGCTCACCATGTAGAAAACGCGTAAGCGATGAATTAATAAATACTCCCTGTTAAAGAAATTAATAAATATTTTCAACGGTCTAATAGTAATAAATTAACACAAGACAAGTTTGATTAACATTCTTCTATCTATAAATAATCAAACACCACCATGCATTCTCAAAAACAGAGAGAGAGAAACAAGAAACAACATGGATGTTTTATTATCCTCAACCTCAAGTTCAAGCCTAATCAACATTTCAAAACCTTACAAACATCATCATAACCTTCCACTTTCAAATAATCATCAAAGACAACCTCGTACGGTACAGTTTTCCGTCTCTTGCAGAGCCACAAAAAGTGTTCCAATTAATCATATGCTACTCGATGATGATGATGGAAACTTGTACAAGATACTACGTTTGAGTTCTAAAACAGCAACAACGGATGAGATAAAAAGAGCATATAGAAGAATGGCTCTTCAGTATCATCCTGATGTTTGTCATGAAGGTTTGAAGAAAGAGGAAACAACGAGGATGTTTGTAAAACTGAATGCAGCTTATGAGATATTGTCGAATCCAAAGCTTAAAGAGGAGTATGATTCAAAGTTATTGGGTGATTTGAGAAGAAGTAAATGGATGGAACAAGTTGTTGAATTGAATAGAAGGTCTCAAACACGTATGGATGCTGCACCATCATCATGGGGTAGTAGAATGAGAGCCAAGAACAATATCAACAAAGATGATCATAATAACTAGCTTTATCTCCTTTGTGATTATTTTGCTGTATTATTTCATATATTTAATATTACATTCATTCTATTGATCAAAAAAAAAAAAAAACATTAACTAGAAGAAAATGATTGAATATGTCAACTTGTTAGACATGATGTTTTTCTTTACATACAAATAAGGGGGGTTTTTATTTGCAAGTGGGCTTAAAATCCTTTTTAAATTGGGTTTAGATCATTGTCCTAATAGTTTATTTAAAAGATTATTTTAGGTTTCGTACGGTAGATCTTCACAATTTCACATCACTTGCATGCAACCCATTATAATTTGCTCTATTGGCAAAAATGTATTCCATTTGTATCCCTATGTCCATAACTTATTTTCATAAATATTTAAATATCATGTGATTATCACCATATATATATATATATATATATATATATATATATATATATATATATATATATATATATATATATATATATATATATATATATATATATATATATATATATATATATATATATATATATATATATATATATATATATATATATATATATATATATATATATATATATATATATATATATATATATATATATATATATATATATATATATATATATATATATATATATATATATATATATATATATATATATATATATATATATATATATATATATATATATATATATATATATATATAAATATAAAGTTAATTAATTTCATCAAATAATAAATAAAACAAATTACTCAAACATAACATTTAAATCAATAATACACTAATAGAATGCAATATCCATAGTCCAATCTTTTATGGGGCCTTCAATCATGATAATTTAGAATTTTGTGAAATTAGATGCTTGCAAGTATAATCAATCAAGAAGTGATCAAAGTTTGTAGACAAGCAAGAGATGCTTTTCTTTGACAATCTCATAGTTTTAATGATGGACAACACATGAAATAGTTGAAGTATTTTTCATGGCAACACCGAAAGATTTCATGTAAGTAATAAAGCTAGTCAAGAGATCAAAGATGCACAAAGTATTTAATCAAGCTATTCCTCCTAATTATACTGGAGAATTAGAGTCTTATGATCACTAGTAATATCCTATGATATATTGCATCTGACTTAAAGATATATCAAGCTCATCCATAAAAAGATTTAAGTGAAGTACTTATGTGGTTGGTATATTAAAAAAAAAAGACTTGAAGCCTTAGAGTGTGAAAGATAGAAAGTGTGAAAGTTTGCATGATTATGCTTAGTTAAGTGATCAGTGTTTTGTAAAAACACGAGCATTTTCGTCAGCACTATAGATAAAAAACACACACACACACACACATACACACACATTAAAACTATTTTTAAAGTCTCTATTCTTCAAACAAAATCACGTAAAATATTTTTGAGCCTAGCCAAATGAACTAGGAATTGCCAAATTGATTAAGGCAAGTTTTTGAACTAACTAATCGATTAGACTGAATGCCTAATCGATTAGATAAGGAAGAAACAAGACTATAATCAATTTTCACAGTATCTTAATGAATGTCAATGAATCTCTATCAAAACCTTCAAATTTTTGCAACGATAATCGATTAATGCATGTTCTTAATCGATTAGGCACTTAATGTTGTTGATGGATTGTTTCCTTTTTTGAACCATCCTATTGCCTATAAATAGATGCCCTACCTTTAGTTATAATCATCTAGAAATATGAGATATTTCACATTCCTCTCTCTAAACACCTCTCTAGATTATATCTTTAGCCATTGCGCTTTGAGGAATGTTCTTAAGTTTTGTGAGGAAGTTGTTCTAGGAAAGATATCATTTTAAATTTATCAAGAGTTCTTTTTCCTCTTTAGTAAATTATTTTTCCATAGAAATTTATCCTTAGATTTGGAGCAAAACCTGTATAAAAGCTCTTTGAGTGATTAATGTTAATCTCTGTTTCCTTCGTGAGCTCCACCACTAGAGGAAAGACTCTCTTTTTTGGTTTGTGAAGAATAGTTATAAAAAAATCTTCAAAACGGTTCGAGATTAGAAGTGTATAAAATCTCTCTTAATTTTTAAGTTCATCCAGTGTAAAAGCTTAGTAGGTTTGACATTAGCCCGATAATAATCTCGGTAAAATTAATGGTGAACCATGTAAAATCTCAGTCCAGTTCGGAGGATATGCAACTCAAAAAATCAAACTTAGTTTGAGATAATTGATGAGTTATCGACAAGTGTATCGATAATGTCGTAGTAATAAAAGATCAAAATAAAAGACCGAATCCACAAGAACTGTGTTCGAGAAAGAAAATAATTATGCAATGTAAAAGAAAACTGTAAATAGGGGGAGGGGTTTCAAGTTTGAAAGCGAAAAACAAAATAAGAGTTTTAACAAAAATACAATGATAGTTAGGTTCTGTTTTGAATCCCCTTATCCTCTCATGTTGATGTATGATGCCTTGTATGAATAATCTTATCCTTATAACCTCACGGCGAATTAACAAAGCCATTATAACTAATCCCTAACAAAATAACTCACCAATCACTACTCGTAGCTTCCTATTCCTAGTCCACCAGCGTAAGCAAAATTAGGCGATGTACAAAATGTTGATTCCGTATGCCACTACTCGAGGTCTCCTATCCTTATTCAACTAACGTAAGTAGAATAATTGCCCTAGGTCCAACACATAGGCTAAAGGCCAATAATCCCTATGTGTTCAATATCAGATTAACAAATTATCTAAAAAAAAGCATTAAGAACGATAAGCAACTAAATAAAATTATAACTCAAAGGAATCATACAAAGTCAAATCAACATATAATCCAACAAGATTGAATAAGGTTCATCATAACACAACCTAACCTAGAGGAGCTTAGCAACTCATAGTTCAGAAAACAATATCACAATTGATATATGAAAATAACATATGAAATCCCTTGAAGTAATGGCCTCAAATGGCTTCAAATGCAATAAAAATCACCATTGATGCTCTAAAAACTGTGTTTTGCTCTCCAATTTTCATAACCCTTGTCTAAATGCTGAAAATCCTCTTAAAAAGAGCTCAGAACATGTCAGAACACATCAGAAAAACCCCAAAAAAGTTTCCATCGCGCGCATTATAGATGTATCGTACGCGATATAACACATACATCCCTATCGTGTGTGCGATGGTGTGTGTGATTATTTCAGTAGCTGCACCAAAAAGCACCCTTTTTCACTAGAGTTTTCACTAAGCAAATGTAGTGGCTGATGCATTGAGCAAGAATTCATTGCATATGTCGATGCTTATGTTGAGAGAATTGGAATTAATTGAACAATTCTGAGATCTGAGTTTAGTATGTGAAGAGACTTCTGACAATATGAGATTGGGTATGTTGAAACTGACTAGTGGTATTCTAGAAGAAATCAGAGTGGGTCAACAATCTGATTTGAAGTTGGTTGATCAGTCAATCTTAACTAACCAAGGTAACAGAGGTGAGTTCCATATTGATGAAAGCAGTGTGATGAGGTTCAGAGATAGAGTGTGTGTTCTAGGTATTCCAGAAATTAAGAAGAGTATTCTTGAAGAAGGGCATCGAAGTAGATTGAGTATTCATCATGGTGCTACAAAGATGTATCAGGATTTGTAGAAATTGTTTTAGTGGCCAGGTATGAAGAAGGATATTACTGAGTTTGTATATGCGTGTTTGACTTGTCAGAAGTCGAAGATCGAGCATCAAAAGCCTTTGGGTATGATACAACCGTTGAATATTCCATAATGGAAATGGGATAATATTTCCATAGATTTTGTGTCGGGATTTCCAAAGACTGCGAAAGGGAATGATTCAATTTAGGTGATTATGGATAGATTAACTGATTTGACTCATTTCTTACCGGTGAAGATTAATCATTCTATATAGAAGCTAACTGAGATGTACATTGAGTAAATTGGGAAGTTGCATGGGATACCTTCGAGTATTGTGTCGGATAGAGACCCGAGATTTACGTCGAGGTTTTGGAAAATCTTACAAGGTACTTTGGGTACTAAGTTGAGGATGAGTTATGCATATCATTCGCAGACAGATGGCCAAACAGAGAGGACTATCCAGTATTTGGAGGATTTACTAAGGGCTTGTGTGTTGGATCAAGGTGGATCTTGGGATAGTCATTTGTCGTTGATTGAGTTTACATATAATAACAGTTTCCATACTAGTATTGGGATGGCACCGTATAAAGCGTTGTATGGTAGGAGGTGTAGGACTCCATTGTGTTGGTATGAGTCCGGTGAGAGTGTGGTGCTGGGACTTGAGATTGTGTAGGAGATGACCAAAAAGAGAATGAGAGCACTTGAATTCCAAGAGGGAGATCACGTGTTTTTGAGAGTTACGCCGGCGGCTGGTATGAGTCGAGCTTTAATATCGAGAAAGCTAACTCTATGTTTTGAAGGTCCGTATTAGATTACGCAGAGGATAGAGGAGGTAGCCTATCTGATTTTTTTACCGCCGTTGTTTGCGAATTTGCACGATGTGTTTCATGTGTCTCATTTGAGGATATACATTCTGAAGCATTACTTGTGTAAGTTGATGGACGAGAAATGAAGAAACTATAGGGTAAAGACATAGCTGTGAAGACAAGCTTCTCAAATGGTTTTGATGATGACATAATCCACAACATGCAATGATGGTTTTCAAGACTTCAAGATTATATCAAGCTCAAGAAACTCACTTTCAATTCAATATGTCAAAGTTTGATCAAGAAAGAAGAAAAAGTTCAACACAATGGAGGTACAATAATTTAAGCATTTATATACCTTACTCAAGTTTCAAAACTTTATCTCCTTCTTGCATTGCATAAAAAACTTCTTAAAATAAAACTATGCACTTTGCCTAAATTTTGGAAAAACTGGTTTCTGGAAAATAACACTGAGTAACCGGTTACCCTATCCTAGTTGTAATACCCCAAATTTTACCCTTACATTTAGTCAGTCATGGCGCATGACATTTTTTGCATCAATTAATCACTAACCAATCATTGAGCGCGATTTGTTTT